GTGCGATGCCCAAACCTGCATGCTAATGAGTAGTAAGAATGCCCTCGCAAGTCTTCAAAAACAAGCGGCCAATGCAGAGATAACAGCTAGAGTATATTGTGCTCAAGCATTGGAAAATAATCCTAGTGTAGCAAAAATGGTTAAAATCAATTTTAGCACTGCGCTAGAGGTCCTGCGGTGTAATCTACCGGGAAACTGGAACCAAAGATAGCGTGAGCGTCAGTTCTCCGTTGACTTATTTTTTGGATGATGGGTAAAAGAGAGCGGTGGATGTAGAGCATACTTCAATGTACATGAAGAAAATAAACCGTATCCTCGAAGATTTGCGTCGACTTTTGACAGAGCACTTTAACATTATAATATATGCCATAGTTAAACGATTTCGGAAACTCTTTGCAAATATTACAACTTATTTGCTAAAATATTGAGTCTAATTCACCACGCTAGTGCGACTTATGTTGGTAAAGCATGGCAATTACTTCCTATACGGCATTAATCATCCGGAAGTAGGGATTGTCGTATGTGGATCAATTGACGGTCTAACCGATCTGCGCTAGAGGGACAGTGATGGTACGGAGAACGGAATTTCGCTAAACCAGCAGGCGTTTTTAAAGTCAAAGTATCACAAACAGAGTAGAATGTTGCTTCACATTGAGGACGCAAGGTTTCAAAATGCAGTCGGGATAAATTAATAAAACTGCAGAGCATTTGAATATGTCACTCACACTAAGGGGTGGAAAGGTCAGAGGATTGTTGGAAATGCCAAGAGACTCGAGTTCCTTCAAGGTGGTTAGACAGCATGGAAGTTCGCTGATGCGGTTGGCACGCACGTCAAAGTGAGCCAAGCGTCTAAGGTTTGCGATTGCTGAAATCATACAAAGAAAGTCAATAAGTTTGCCGTGTGTAATTAAAACGCCGCCCATAGTGGATCAGCCAAAAAGACGGGAAGAAGTTTGAGTCCGAAAACTGTCACAGCGTAAATGTGCGCCGTCAAGGAATTAACAATATCACAGTTCCGTGTATACAGCCGATTTAATGCACATCACTTAGGTTTATTAAAGCCAAATTTTTTTAATTCAATAACATTCGTGAGGAGGGGTAAGTCCTTATAAAGGCTTTAGTGCAGGAGTTTTAGGGCTGTAGTGTTAATTGCCAAGGAGGAAATAAATGATTTTTTGTGCCTCTAAGTGAGCGTTTTGTTTTTCAATAAGGGTCACACACGAAAATATGGACTCCCAGTACAACAGGTGACCATGGCCTAAGGTTAATCCTAATTCTAAAGCTAAACCACTTAACATTTATTTTTCATACCCTTACCCTTCTGGAATTCAGCCCAGGATAATCCCTAATATGAGAGCCCCTGTCCCGGTGAGATTGAAATCTCCACAATTAAGGCGTACACGACCCCCCTAATGAGCGCAATCGACAGGGAGACATGTAATAAAGGAACGGTAGCAAAGGTTGTGGGACAGTTTAAAGGACAAAAAAGAGGCGGTTGCGTGTTTGTAATGAAAAGCAATATACGGTGGATCCTCGGTTCAAGAGTTTACTCCGTTCCAGCACCGAGCTCGTCATCTGAAACGCTCGTCTTGCGAAACGCAGCCAACCAAATTGTATCACTTCATCGATTGACTGCAAACGACGGAGGAGGACCCATGCTTTGGGAGCCAGACTCAATGGTGGACACACACACACGCACCGACAACCCGTCAACTGAACGGAAGCTCGTCAACCGACCTACATTTTCTGCGAGTAGAAGGAGCTGCTCGTCACCCGAGTCTCCACTGTACATATATGCCCATTGTCAACGCTCAAGCGAGCTGGGTTTTGGCACTGAATTAGGCCGTATTACACTGCTATTTATACGCCAACCTAACACTAACTCTATCTGTTGTGTTTGTTTGGGCGAGCATTCGTTGCCATGTTAGAAAGGTCGCACAAGCATTCGTGGGCGGAAATCTTGATTGGATCCTGGAATTCCGCTTGCTCCTCACATAAAAGGCGTTCGTGGAGAATTAATGTACTGACATGCAAGTCAATCCGTTTGCAATAAAAAAAATCATGTCCACTGCAAATGCTGCCATTCCGAAATCAACGGTTTAACTGGTACTCGGCTGCCAACCCACTGTAACCATGAAGAATACGCTCAATAGGTGAGATAATGCTTTAAATAATTAACTGCATCGTTGAATCTAAGCAAGGTTGCAAAAACGTCATGAGCTTCAATGCTACGGCCAAATACCTGGCGTGCATTCGGCCGTGGAATTATAGCAACCGTCGAAGCTATCGTACTACTGTGATATCGGTAATAATAAAAATGATCCGCGTTCGTTTGAAGAGTATGTTGGATGTTG